AGGCTGCAAGGACAGCATTTTAAGGATCTGGTCCACATGTGGTAGACCCTCCCAAAGGCCACACTTTGCAAAGACTGCTGGAGCTAGTGGTTTAACCCAATACCCACCCAGCTCAATGGATGCTAGCAAGGAGCAGGAAACAGTAACGGCTCTAGAAGAATCTGGCAGAACATCATGTGTGTGGACCCTACGCTAAAAACTCATAGCGACATTAAATCATCCTAAATCCTTAACACCACTCACAAGAATACTCTCCCCCTTTCGTCAAAAACCACGTCATTCCAATTCATGTATAGTGCTGACAATATAGATTTCACAGAGTGCGTCTGAACTTGACCCAGATGCTTAAATATTTGCATAACTCCAGAAGCAAGAGGAAAATAGGCACAAATCTCTTGGTTGCTTGGAAAGAGTGGCCTGAATGCAAGCAGTAGGCAGAGAAGAGAAAACAGAGATGTTAATCCTGGGAGAGCACTTGCTGGCTGTTTTCAGCCCTTTCTAAGGAAGAAATGGAACACATCTTACAGAATAAAATAAAGCCCTGGTTTGAAAAAAAAAATATATATATATATTTATTTATTTCAAACTGTGCTCTTTCCTGGAAGGGGCAGGAGCAGGATTAAGTGAGAAAACAGTTTAGTGTACTTAGCTCCCAGTTCAAATGTTAATAAAATAGCAAGTATTTTTTTATTCAAGATTTTAAAAAAAATACCTATTTTGGCCAACATTATGAATCTCTGTATTAGCTCTAGATATTAGAAAAACGTTTCCTTGGGAAGTTAACTGTACAAAAACTGTGGAAGCAGGAGCTGCAGTGTGGTTCAGTGAACTTTCTCTGTGAGAAGCTGGTGAATATGCACGTATTTCAGGTCCATGGGCCAAAAGGCTCTGTGGCAACTGCCAGACTCCACCACTGAGGCACCAAGGCAGCCACTGAAGAGCAGATGATGGGGGGGTGACTGGGTGCTGATAATAATGTTTCACTCTGAAGGACACAGCCTTCTTTTTATATTTCCAGCCACGTGACAAGGGGAGACACCATTTTTTGGTCATGCACCACACAGAGCATGCAATGGTTTCTACGTGGTCCACAGATCATCCTTGGATAGGCTGAGACTAGATGTTGGTTGAAAAACAACAAAAACCATACAATATAAAAATTAAGAGAACAGAGCTCGTTTTTCCTTCCTTGCTTCTTTCTTTGTTTCTTTCTCTGACTTATTTATTTCACTTGCATCTGGCCACCCCTAAGAAATAACCGGAAGAGTGTAAGGTCGGGTTGCAGTACTCAGTCTCAGTCAGAGTTATTCTACGCCAAGCAGTGGAGTCACAGACACCAGGCGTGGAGTCCCACAGGTACCACGGCCGTTCTGGGAGCCACAAAATCATTCATGACACCACATTAGTTCCATGATTTGCCCTTTAGTGAACTGTTATAAAGGGTCCCTTCTGCATTACCGTTGAAATTGGATGTGTTCATTCAGTTCTCCTGAATGTTTCAGGGAGCGAACAGTGGAAGGGAAATCATGACAGACCCAAGAGCCATTTCAGCCAAGAGTACAGGGCCCCCTTGCAGGGAGGGACACACAAGCACACAAAACGTTTCTGGAGAAAATTTCACCAGCAATCACAAACCACTGGGGCAGGAAATCTTTTGTAGGAATATACCGGTTTATAGAGTCTCAGGCAAATGTAATCATTGTCTGAAGACTGCAGTGCTTCCTGACATGATGGTGTGAACAAGGACCAGTGGATAAGGGAGTTCTCGGGTCTTCAGAAGGTGCTGTTAGCAGGGGTATGGTCATCGCATGCGCTTCCCTGTTACAGTGGAGTTCGCACTGCACTCCTGAGGCTTTGTAAGTGATCCTTAGAAAAGCTTTAAGCTATAGTTACAAACTTGCATTCACTATTGTTTTAGAAAATGCCACCAGTTGTTTAAATACCAGCCATAAAAGGTCTCCACAAACGTGCTAGGACCCTGTGCAGCAAGAAAGGACCAAGATGTTGTGCAAAAGTGTTTCTGACAAGTGGTCTTCTATCTGAATAGATATTGCTGCACAGTTTTAAGAGGCTTGAAAATTTTATACATTTACATTTAAAAAATCCAATTATGGCATTCAAGTACAGCTTCAAGATGGGCTACAATGAGAAACAAGAGACAATACACTTTTCTGTGTAAGAGACGTAAGGAAGAAGGTAAGACTCTAAATTTCTCTGGAGAAAACATATTCATATATGTGTGTGTGTTTCAAATGCGAACTCCACACTGTGCTACCAGAGCTGAGTGTCACACTGGTCCTTCCCAGTTACCTGGGCCCACATCTGTGGAGAGCGTAGCTCATATGCAAATGAGGATCAGCTTTCCATGGTGCCTATGAATTCGTTTCATCACGTGAGTAGTGGTATGGGCAATTGGAGGAAGTGTGGAAAGTCTCGGAGCAGATGGGCCGAGTGTGAAGCGTGAGGTTGGAGATGCTAAGCGTTAGACGCAGCGGCTTCCCTGCCAGTGAGTGCAAATGCAGAGGCTGGGCTTGGCACTGGAAAGGCTAAGGACGCATATTTTGCACTTGTTTATACAGAATAGGTCACTGAAGCCAAATGAAGTAATGAGACGGTGAAAAAATATATAAAAACAAGAAGATGTTACCAGGGAGGCTCTGGGAACACACATGCATGGCAGAGGGAGCAGGTGAAGGACCAACAGGCAGAGGCAGGTGGGTACCGCGGTGTGTGAGAAAAGGGCTGCAGAAGACAGGAGAAGATTGGACAAGGTAGGACAGAAAGATTGCAGAAGCCAAAAGATGCAAGAGCAGGTCTTCCTGTAGCTGGAGGACTGCACTTTCTGTTTGTGGTGCTCAAGACTGAGCCCAGGAGGGTTGGAATGACCACCCCTGCCTCCTTTTTCAAAGCTAATTGAGACAGGTTCTCTATAAGCTTCCCAGGGTGAGTATGAGTTTGCGTGCCCTGCCTCAGCCTCTGGAGTTGCTGGGACTATAGAAGTATGCCGCCATGTGCATCTGGATTTCCCTGTCATGAGATCATCCAAGACCCTGGGAAAACCACCTATGAATCAGAGGAGGCTGTGGATGAATATGTACATGTAGCTTCACATCCTAGAACAAGGATGTCAAGTCAAGGTTCAGTGAAGGATAAAATGGAAGACTAAAGTAATGAAGAGTAATACGTAAATCTTGGACCATAGCCCATGTCCCCATCAGAAGATGAATGCATGAAGAAAACGGGGTATCTGTGTATAGTGGAGTACTACTCTGCCATAAAAAAGATGAATTTAAAGCTTTTTAGGTAAATAGATGCACCTTGAAAGGATAATCTTAAGTGGAATAAATCAGACACATGAGTTTAAATAGTGCATTGTTTCCCTCATGTGAGAAACCCAAAGTATAAATAAGGAACAAAATAAGGGCTAGACATTAGGAAACAGGAAGAACTTTTTACAAATGGAAAAGAGAATAAGAGATGGGCGGGCAGGGAAGGGAAAGAAAAGGGACTTACAAAAAGAACTGAAGGAAATGGAAATAGGGCTTTTGCAAATGAAAGAGCAGAAGAAAGGCTGGAGGGAGGGGAGGAGAAGGGAACAAAGGCTTATGATGTGCTTGCTCACATGCGTCTCTTCCAGGATGAGGCCGCCATGCACCACAAGCATGCACAGCAGCACCGGCAGGAGGGATATCAGACAGCAAGGGCCAGGAGGTGGCGGGAACAGGACAGCAGGCCCAGGGCCAGAGAGCAGGATGTGGAAGGGCTTGTCTGGTAGTGAAGATTATTCCTCAGCAAAGACGGGACAAGTGGGAACCCAGACACGTCCAAGGGCAGAGAGGAAGCCAAGCCCTGCGTTTGGAAGACACCATCCCCCAAATTTCCAACTGAAATTCTGTGAGGATGAAAGATTCGGATCTGGGATTTTAGGCAGAAGGATAAAAAGAAATAAAATGAGAACTTTATAACAAAAACACTCTTTGGAAATTTCAGTTAGCCAAGAATAAGGAACCACAATTTTAAATTGATTGAAGTCTGAGCACAATTCCCTCTCCAGTTCAGAATCTGTCTCCGTTCTGCCGTGCTTTATAATGACTTCTGCAGGCGCGCTTCCTGTCTGCTTCCCGAATTAGAGGAGAAACCGCCATCTTTCACGGGCTGATTCTGAAACTACAGCGAGTCTGAGAGTCTGTCCCTGCCTGAGTGGTAGTCAAGGAGGGGCAGAACCCTGAATCTGTGCCAGGGAGGAACCTCAGGACATCAGCGTGAGTGACATAAACCAGGCAGATAAATACACATTAACACAGGCTGGCCCACAGCCCAAGGGTTTTTTCCCTTGTGCAGTAATTTCCCAGCTTTGGGGTGCACCAGAGTTACCGAAAGAATTCCAGTCCCAGCCCTTAAATTCCTGGACGGAGTCTGGAAGCTTCTGTCTCTAACAAGTGCACAGCGAGCCCATTCAGCTGTTCCGAGGCCACACTTTGAGAACCACTGTTACGAAACACCCTCTACTCCTCCGTGTCACAGACGCCTGTGAACAAGAGTTTCCACTCAACTTCCACTAAAATACACTGACCGGTTAGAATTCCTGGATGTATTCAATAGCCGTTGGGATATTTTCAGTGGGGTTACCTGTATTGTAGTTAACTTTGTTTCTGAATGCTTTCTGGAATGTGCCATCTACCAGGATCATGGCCCCAAGGAAACAGCTCCAGGTAGACGGAGAAGTCAGAATTGGCTTCACTTCTGAGGATGCCGTGCCGATTCACACATCATTTCCCGTCCAGCCCCTAATTCTGCTCATCGTCCTTTTCCTCTTTCAGATCGCCAGATACTTTGCACGTATCAATGCATTTTCTCCCTCCCCATATCTTGCAGAGACATTTATATGGACAGCCCCGTGTACAGATGTGGAGACCAAGGTCTGGAGAGACAGAGAACCTCGCTGGAGGCAAAGGCGGACCCTGGAAACTTTCGGGTTCACCCAGCACTCTGGCACTTACCGGTTCCCAGAAACAGGACGTGGTACCGGCCGTCGGCCGCGCTCACGCGGTCCACAGCGATCCGGGTGTACTTGTAGTCGGTGCCGATGCGGACGATCAGAGGCCGCCTGTGGACCGGGTACACGGCGTTGTACATGAGCGGGTGGTTCCGGATGAAGGTGACCACGTCGTCTGGGAACTCCTTGGTGGTCCGCATGTTGGGCGTGAAGGCTCCTCCGGGACACTGAAAATCATGCGCAACAGAAACAAAGGAGTTAATTTGCTTTGGTGATAATTAGAAGGCCTCTCTAAAAAACTCTTAGAGGCTCCAGGTTCTAAGTGTATTTGCTGCGTATTTGTTGTCCGCTGGGGAGAAAATGGCCTTACCGTGCAGACAAGCGTGCCTACAAACGGGACTTGCAGCGTGCTCTTGGGCACCACCGGAAGCCCAGCCCATGCGTCCTAACACGTTTGTTTTCAGGGAGATGATTCCACTCTGTATGTAACCCAATTTTCAATCGTCTCACCCATCGCTTTTCTGTTTTGTAATTTTGTGCCAGAAACTATACTGTTCAGATACCATCTCGCAGATATATCATCTGATGCTGCTATCAGTTAAGAGAAATCCAGGGGTCATCTTCAAATTCAATCAGGTCTCCAACGTGTAACAACTTTAAGCCATCTGATCTTTGCTCACAAGGTGGATCGGGAAGCTGGGTCACTCCCGCCCCTCTGGAGGAGACCCTGGTCCTGTCCACCCCGCAGAGCGCAGTCCCAACAGCTGTGGGTGCTCACAGGCCCTGCCCAGGGGCTCTGCTGCAGCCCTCTTGCTGGCTCCTGTTGTCCCAGGACCTGGGCACCCCCTTCTCCCCTCTGGCAGGCTCTGCCCTAGCCCTTCCCGCCACTGTCCCCTCACTAGGTCTCAGCTCCAAAGTGACTTCCTCCAAGGCAGTGTCCTGAAAAGAGCCCCTCTCCAGATCTCCGCTCTGCGTTTCCTTAGCCTGGTCTCCTGGTCTCCTGGTCTCCTTGGCCTGGTTTCCACGGCCAGATCACGGATTGTATCCACTTGCATTTTTTTTTTTTTTTTTTTGTATCTGTATCATCTGTTTCTCTGTCAAGAATGCAACCTGTAGGTTGTAAATAACAGGGTTTTTTCTTTCTTTTTTTTTTTTTTTTTTGGCTTTTTGGCTTTTTGAGACAGGGTCTCACTTTATAGTCAGGATTGCCCTGAATTCACTATGTAGCTCAGGCTGGCCTCGAAATCTCAAATCCTCCTGCCTCTGCCTCCAGAGTGCTGGGATTGCAGGCGTGAGCCACGATGTCAGGCTAACAAGGTTCCTTTTGCTCCTTATTGTTTTTTCTTTATTGGTACATTTTAGGTATACAATACAGTTACATTCATTATTGGGATCTTGTACCTTTACATGGTGTATCTTGGTTCTCATTTTTCCCCATTCCCAAGCCTCCCTTCACCCCCTCCACCCTCCCCTATTTACAAAGACTTTGTTTCCATTCTTTTCCTCTTCTCTTATTTTTTTTTTTCTCTTCTTACCTTTCTCCTACCCCTCCCACCTCGCCTGCACCTTTGGACCTTTTTTTTTATCCTGTTACACAATGTCAGTTATACATTTTGCTCATTATCTTGCTACCAGAGCTGTAACAAAGCTGGTGAGAGCATTTACTTTCCAGTGAGCAGCTGCATGCTTGCCTTATTTCCAGCCCTAGCTCCCACTTGCGGCTTGGGGGTAGGGGCTGCGTGGAATTGGAGCTGTGACACTGGACAGGACAGGGAATTAAGAGCCTCATATCCAAAGGAGCAGACAGAAGAAGGCAAGGAAGAGATAGATGGAAACAGTGCACCCTTGGAAGGCTTCTGAGTTTGGGCAAAGGACCCTGGCCAGGCTTCTGAGTGAAGGGCACCATTGTTAGGGAACCTGAGGCCACGCCCAGCTGCTGAGGCCTAGAACTGCAACTCTCCAGGGAGCAGGAGCTGGGGTTTGGTTACGTAAGGGAAGCCCACTGCTTGTCAACCCCTACTGGTACCTGACGGTAGCTTTGCTCCCAGGAACAGAAACACTCTGCTACATTTCTTTGAAACTCTTCCCAAGTTAGAGAGGTCAGAGGTAAGAGGAATGGAATCCAGGAAGCTTCCTGATCAGCAGGAACATGAACTTTCCAGCTGGAAAGTCACACATCACCAAAAGGTATTGATGGCTCCTGTGCAGGAATACGTGGCCAATGTCGTCAGATTCCCCCGGAAAAAAACAGTGATGAGGAATTCTGTGCTCCATCAGCCAAATCTTTAGTGTCGACACAGTGAAGAAAGAAAAGCAACTATGGGTACCAAACAGAACAAGGCCACCTCTGGTGGAATCCGAGCCACAGACTCCAGGGCTACTGGTGCCACTGAGTTGCAGGCCAGGCAGAACCACAGTGGCCAAGTTATATCCGCAAATTACCAGTGTGCTCTGACTTATTGAGGCTACATCTTCACAAGTGCAGGTTCCAGATTAACTTGAAGAGTCAGCACAGCCAGAGCTTTATACAGAACAGAGAATATGGCTCTCTTTTTGGAAAAAGGTGTGGCAAGCAAAGATATGACTTAGCACAGGGAGAAGAGGGAGTCGAGCAACACCACTGATCCTCTTGGTCCTTACTCCATTCTCTTTAGTTCATGTATTTATCTGTTAAGAAACAGCAATATATATATATATATAAAATATAACATAATATATATGTTATATGTATAATATTATATTTTCTTTTTTGAGACAGGGTGTCACTATGTAGTTGAGACTGCCCTGGAACTCAATGTGCAGCCCAGGCTGGTCTCGAACTTGCAGCAATCCTCCTGTCTCAGCCTCCCAAGTGCTAGGATTACAGGCCTGCGCCACCACATCTGGCCCGGCATTATATTTAAGAATGGCCTGCAAGGAGGCCCAAGATGAGGACAAAGAGTCTAATCTGAGGTTGTTCCAAGTTGGTGGATGTGTTCCACACTTCTGCAGAGTTAAGGGTATTTTCTGCCCACATTTCCACTCAAAGTGGAAAAGGGAAAGGCATTTCTCAGCAAATGGAAACATGGAAAGAACAATGCATGAACAGTTTAAATAGTTCCAGGCCTTCATAAAACACCACTAATTATGGCTTGCTAAGCCGAGATGTCTCCTTAAATATTTGCAAGCATTCATATTTGTAAGTTCTGGAAAGATCTGAAGTTAGCATACATATTACTAGGTGATTGTTAACAATTTCCAGTTAGCACAGCCTGGGGTAGGGTGAGCTTCTGCCGCTATCAGTGCTGAGGTTTTGGCTTTTTATTAAAGGTAACTGGAGTTTAGATAAGACTTTTGTTAAGGTTGCTTGAAACCCTAATTATAAAATAGGTGATCATATAAACCAACTGAGATCCATAATTTTGCACTCATGCACTCATTCCCCATGTGAAAATTTTTTTGTGTGTTCATAATGAACCTTTTAGAAGTAAGTGTCTCCGACTGTGGATTGACTTTTGAATGTACAAAAGATTTCTGGCCATAGCTCTTCCAGTGACTCACGGCACACACTGAAGATAAGACACACAACAAGTGACGAAGTCATGGCAAGAGTAAGAGCTGGTCACCCTCTCTGGACACTGTGCCTCAAGGTGACCGTCCACGTCCAGATGAGACGCCTGAACTCTCCCCTCGTCTCAGGGCACAGGAGAGCTGCATCGAGGCCTTCATTTAACAGAACACCCACGTGCACTGACAGAGAACAAACGCCGTGTCTGTGAACAGACTGCTGTGTCATTCTCCAGAACTTGACTTCACTCAATGTCTCCCAAAATGGTTTGTTTTCCTTTCATTTACTGTCAACTATTTACAGAGCAGGGATAAGCGGTCCTTCCCTGAGTGAGGGCAGCTTCACGGCTCGCTGAAGTGTGCAGGAGGCTGTGAAGGAAGTGTCCAGTGGCTTCCCTGACCAGAGCCAGGAGGGCATGGACACCCCCTGCTTCTCAGAGGTCTCCTGGTCCTCCGTCCATTAGGAAAGCCACCAAACTGTCTGTCTGTGTATAAATGGGTCAATAACCAGTCTGTGAACCTATTTTGTTCAAAAAGCATTTAGATGTACACAGCAGAGGACACAGAAATAGTGATCGCTGTTGTCTTCTAAACACAACCTTGCTCATAAAGAAGACAGACATATTCAAAGCGCTACAACAATTAAGCATTAGAGGGAGAGCTCGAGTCTTGTGAAGGAAGAAACGGCTTGGTTCCGGATCTCAGAGAAGGCAATGCTTTCTTAGATTAATTCAGAGTAGTGGAGAAGTCCCAGGTTCCAGGGTTAGTGACGAAGTTTAGAGATGGGAAGGCAAAAGTTGGGCTACTCCAGGGGCCGTAAGTCCTTAGACACTGAAGTCGAGTGTTCTGCTACATTTGCAGATTGATATTAAATAGAACACTTATATTTAGCCCTGCTAAAGATATGCACTAACTACAGGACAGTCCGCTGCAGAAGCTTCATCCATGTTGCAACAGAATAATGTCATTTGTCATGGGCCACAGAGAGCACGCAGTCTCTGGCTGCCCTTTGCAGCATACCAAAGGTGTCTCGTTTCTCCCACACACTCGAGTTCCTGATGGAAAACATCATGACACCGCTGGCCAGCTTCCTCTGCTGGCTCGGCTGGCCTGCGGGGCTCTTCGCTAACACAGCCATCAGCCCGGCTTTGAAAGCAGCATCCCCGGGGAGCCTTAGAACCAGGGTATAGGATTTCTGCCAGGGTCATGGGGTTGACTGGGCAACTGGACTACTGTGTGGGGAAACAGAGCTGCACAATCCCCCTTGATCCTTCCCTGGGAGGGCTTCAGAGGCAGCACTCCTACCCAACAGGAGGAGGCAAGGCTGTGGGCTGGGCACTTGGCTGCCAGTCTCCGGGCCACGTGAGCAGAAGCCCAGCAGAGAGACCCACAGGGCTTCTCTGAGTCACCCCACTGACTTCATGGGGTTTTGCCCAGAGCAGGGTGGAGGCCCCAGGTCTTCGGGGAAGCTCGCTTTTCCAGGAGGAGTTCCAAGGCCACTCCTCTACCCCGCCTCTTTCCCCTCCGGACCACTCATCTGACAATTTTGGGATTTAAAGAAGCTGTTCTGGTCTCCACACCAGATGCAAGAAACCACATTACAGAAATAAGTCCTAAGTGTGTCCTACTCCCTTTCTGCGTGGAGTCTGCTCCAGATGTGTGTCACCCAGCCCTGGCTCCTTCCACACTGCTTTAGAATAGGGAAGGAGATATGCTTATTCTTAAAAGCCAAAAGAATTCCAAACAGAGAGGCTGCTTTTCAGAATTGTCAAACTTAGCACTGGCTTACTTTGGTTTACTAAAAAGGGATGATGTACAACCACATGATGTAGAATAATGGTCTCTTGACAGGCGTGGTTTCTCTGTGATTCCAGAGCCCTGTGTGGAAGCTAAGGTGGCTTGCAAGTGGTTGTAGAAGAAAAGCAGGGTCGAGGGTGGGGCTGGGGCTGGCTTCCCTTCAGGGGACCCTGACTGTAGCATCTGCCCATTTCCATGCCACTAACATCCCCAGCTTGGTCACCACTGTGACCTCACACACGCACATGCTACTGAGAGCTCAACGCAAGCTAGTTTGGGCTGCACCAGGTACTGTGGCTGCAAACCCTCAGTGAACCAGCTCAGCCTGCTTTTATCTGCTTCTTGGTTTATCTGCTTGGTTGGTTTCTCTTAAGATGCCTGGGGAGTTAAGGGAGAAGGACCTGGAATATGGGCGTGCAAACCCAGGCACTACCACTGGCAAAAGCGCGGGCAATCAGTCAGCTCTTAACTTTCTGCATTGACAGGAAGCTATGACCAGATCACTTCAAGTCATTTTCAAGAGAACCACTTAGCCTTGAATAAGGGAATTCTCTGGAAATGCACGACTTCTCTGAAACACGCAGTCTTTGCCTTACACGGGAATTTGCAAGCCACTCTCCACCCCTTCCTCTCTCTGACACCCTTGCCTCTGTGCAGCTCCTCTGCTCCTGGCACTTGAGGTGGCTGTTGAGTGTTCATTCCCGTCCTTGTCCCAACCTCTTTCGAGCTGTGAGCATCAAAGACAGATAACTTAAAAGGGTGTTGAGAGCTTCATGATACTGTCAGACATGATAAGTATTATTTAGTTACATTAAAATGTAGCACTTTTAGGGATAAGTGGCAAATCTCCTAGTTTTCCCCAAGTTAATTAAAAGTTGATTGGTCATATAAAATAAAGATAGACGGTTAATGTTTGGGCTTCCTAGCCAGGGAACCAAATTTAAATATTTTTAATTGTAAATAAATAGCCTTTTTAAAGGTTTAGTAAATGGTATTTCCTTTTAAAAACTTGACAATAGGCAAGTTTAGCACCCTAAGAAATGAAAGCATAAACTATATTTTAAAACACACTGTAATTGCATAAAAAATGAAGTACGTCAATAATTAGAAAAATTATAGGGGTGTTGTGTATGGCATTTTCCAGAGACAAACTAATCAACATTCTAGAAAGCAGCATGGCCAAATGAAAAATAAAAAAATAGGAATGTTCAAATTGGAACCCAAGAAAATTTCCTATTCCAATCTGGCAGTGAATGGCCTGTATCTTGGTTAGAAAAGTTAGTTTTCAATGTATCTCTTACTGTTATTAATACTATATGATACAGATGCATTATAACCCGCTTCAAAAATAGTCAGTTCCATTCAGGGGATTTCTAATTAGAAAGCAGTTAAGTAATTCTAATTCGCACATTAGTTTATGGTATATAAATATTTTATTTAAATTATTACCTACATTGTCATTACTTGCTCAGATATGACCAACACTTTTTCTTCGAGAAAGATATAGTACATAATTTCAAGTTAAGTATATACCTAAAGGATAAAAAAATCTCCCCTAAGTCATCTGTAAATTAATTTTCACTTGGTTGTCCTTTCACTAAAACAGGTGGCATTCTTTACTGTAGGGAAAGTGTTGTGAAAAGTAAGTAGGATTCAAATAACTTTGGTCTCCACTGAAAAATTAACACTTTTGGAGATTCAGACTGCTCTGTGACACTTAGAAAAATGTATCTGTTCCATTTGACTCACCCAGTGTTTTGGAATCTAAAGGAGATTGTGTCATCAATAACACATTTTACATGGAGTGTAGTGCAACGTAAGTGACAGGTGAGTGAAGGCCCAGGTCTGGAGTCCTTAGGCTGGGGCACCGGAGGTGAAACATTTGTAGGAGCCCCTAGGTTGGTGCAGAGTTGAATGTCATAAACATCAGCCGACATTCGGTTCTTGATGAATGAGAGGCGTGATAACGGAGACGCTTTCCGAGCTACTCACAGTGCCTGGGCGAGGGTAGGGGATTCTGCCCTGGTAGGAAATCAGCTGATGGTTCGGCCCTTCCTTGTGGGCGAAAGGCCCGTTGAACACGGTCTGTATGTCAGACAGGTGGTACACGCACACTGCAGAGCCCTTGAAGACGGAGCTGCAAAAGGAAGCAAACTGGTCTGTTTTCTTACTCTATAAACAGTGCTACAATTTTACAAATGGGTGGTTCAGTGTCTGATCCAATTCATCATGGAACACTTGAATGCTACAGTACACTAGTACAATGTTGAAACAATGGCTGAATGGCCATGAAGAAGCTGATACAAGAAGGGTTCAAATATTTCACCCACATGGGGGTCATCGACAGTGACAGGTTACGGAAAAGTTCTTCTGAAGGTTTCCCAAAACACAATCAGGGACTTGTTAACTAGCTCATTTTTAGCAACAAAAAAATGCACCAATGATTTTATGATAGAATTTGAATTCCAAGTCACTATCGATGTAAGCTAACACATTCAATTCTGAAATAAATCCCAGTCACAGAAGAACATCATCTTTTTATGTTAAGAAGAGTTTCATGGGAGTGCCACCTTAGATTTTCTGAATAATAATATAATCTGTCATTGGTCTTGTTTCTCCTCTGTGAATCACTGACAATACAAAGTTCTATAAAAGATTCGTGAAACAATCTTTTGATAGCAAAATCTCAAAACAATTGTATGGCTTAAAATTATTTTCACTATCACTTCTGCAGACTGACTGGCACCAACATTTCTCTGAGTTATGCATTTTCTTCAAATTAGATGCTCAATGTAAAGGGTTTTGTGTTCTCATAAAAATAACAAATTATTATATATCACTAGAATCAATAGTCAGAAGTAATTATTTTTACTTTTTCAATATTAAACTTATTCGTATTGGGAAAAAGAGGAACTAAGATTTGATTTAAATGGAATCAACATTTTTCTTAAGAATTTGGCTGTTTTTTCCCTGTTCAATTTTTTTGTGAGTAAAATTAAGCCTACTCCTTTGCTAAAATAGGAGTTAAGAACATCCGGAAGATATCATTGCAGATAGCTTACAAGGAAAACATGGATAATTTAAAATCAGTATGTCAGGGGCCAGGGATTTAGCTCAGTGGTTCTGCCACCTACAAGGACCTGAGTTCGATACCCAGTAACAAACAAACAAAAAAATCAGTATCTGTCATTTTCTTCTTTGAATAGTTCATCGCAGTTAACAACTATACGATGTTTCAACCCAGTCAAAAATAATGCTAAAACCTTTGGATTTCCATTTAGAAGCTGATGTCAGATAAAAGCCCAGGGAATCCTGCAATGGCCAAGTAGTCATGGTGAAATACGAGGGTAGTTTCAAAGTGAGGCTCCTAGTACAACATGGTAAATCTGTTTTGAAAAATAAGAAATACTGCCAAAGAGAGTATAAAAACTGGTTTAGCTTTTGGTGTTTTTTAAATAGTCTGTCCCAGAAGTGGACATTATTTTTCTCTCAATGGTGTAATCTTTACACTTTTCCTGAAGTATAATTGGTACACAAAAATTACACATATTGCTGTGTACAGGTTGCTGAGTTTGGACATATAAATACTCTTGTACTTCTACTGAACTATCCAGTTAATAAATATATCTGTAACCTCCGATAAAAATGCTAATAAAATGCCAAAGATTTTCTTTGAAACATGAATATTGAGATTATTTTCTTGAGCAAAAATTTGTATACACTTCATTACTACACTGTAACTCACAGCAAGCAATCTTTACAAATGCAAACTATTCTGAAAGCAATTGTCAAGCTCCAATGTATCTTGGAAATCTGGAAAGTAAATAAAATGGGAGGGCTCTATCCCAAACTCTTTGTAAACTTACAAGTTGAACAGAAGAATGCTTTCATAATATTGACTAACACTCAATGAAGTGTATTGTTTGACTTATAAAATATAATCATTCGATAATTACCTTGATGTTGTAAAAATGCCATACACCAGTGTTGTCCTTGGATTATCAGTTTCCAACAGAAAGACATCCTCTAGAAAAGGGAAAATGTAATCTTTTTAAATTCCTAAAGAGTAGCTTTGCTGGTGAATATTACCCTAAGAAAGTAGATTCAGCTCTTGAACTCATTGATCAGAAAGACATTCCTGTAGCATCACTACAAACTGGGACCAACCAAGTGATGAGCACACGTTACGTCTGATTATGGGCTACACAGACTCTAAGGACTTATGTGTACCTCTGGGGGAAGCATCCTGAAGAGATGAAACAAGGCAGGCAAAGCACATGTAACAGGGAGTGAAGCCACAGAATCCCTCAAACTGTGTGCCACAGAGGAAGAGCGACCATCACCCAGTGTCACGGATGGCAAAGCTATGGGTATGTCCTTGCTGCTTTTAGCTTGAGAAGTCTCTAAATATCCCTTAATGATAAAATTTCAGGCTTTTCTAAATTAAAAAAATAAAAACACTACAACTCAATTTCTTTTAAACCTATAATTAAAGGTAGAAACATGGAAGGAAAATGACACCTCTAATAATAAGGAATTTGAAGTATTTTATTTTATTTATTTTTTGTTTGTCTGTTTTTGTTTTTTTGAGACAGGGTCTCACTATGTAGTGAGACTGACCTTGGAACTCACTATGTAGTCCAGGCTGGTCCTGAACTCACAGTGATCTTCCTGCCTCAGCCTCCTGAGTGCTGGGATTACAGGCGTGCGCCACCATGCCCAGCCTGCCTTTTATAACAAAGACAAAATCCAGTAAGACCTAAACATGAAAGACTTCTGATAGAAAATCCTGGTCAATAGTGAGTTATAAAGAATATAAGAAAGGTCAGGGCTTAGTGAAATTGTGCAAATTCTTGCTAAGGAATGCAAAGAGAGATACATTTATTTTTAACTAACAGGGAAATCAGGGCACCTTCGGCAATGAATGAATAACCACTAGTCTTTCCATAGTGCAATAAAAGCCAGGTCTACCTTTCTTCCAGAGAAGAAGACGAGAACGTGATGCACCTTCACCGTGAGAGGAAATGGTGAATGACACAGCGGTGGAGAACCTTTCAGAGCTTTCAGGGACACAAGCAGCTCACGTGCCATAGGCTCCCCTCCACTGGACCAGAGTGTGCCACTCAGTGATAAGTGAAAGTTTTGCTAGAAAAGTTGCTGCCCAAAAGCACCGTGGACTTTAAGAATGACTATTTCGGTTTTATAATTCTGAGGTTAAATTTTTCCATATCACATCTACCTTTGTATTGTTACTTTATCATCTGCCTCAAAGCCTGAGACTAACCACCAATTTCCATTTTAAGAAAAAGGCAAAAGAAGTCATTTTTTCAGTGGCACTTGATAAATATGGGACTCTGTTGTCTCCAGGTGATGCCTCTCTCAGAGAACTGTTTCCTGCTAGAAAAACATCAGACCGTTGGTCTTTGTGTGGCCTGGAAAGTGAACGTCTCTTCAATCTCGCTGGCCCTCTCGGCCCTGGGTCAAGAACTCAGAGCAGGAGCCCCTCCTTTCTACCCCAACACCTCCATCCAAATCCTGTCCTGCCTGCTAGATTCCTTGGCAGAAATATATGGCTGTATTCTTACAGAAACAGGTTGTAAATCAGAATATTACATATCCAGGAAATAAATGCATTTCCAAAAGCCCAGAACATATCGTTATATACAAACTTTACAAGCACTCGGCACAGGCACACACACATGTATATATTATGGTAAATTTAGTGAAATAATTATTTCAGCAGTCTGTTGGGGGCAGAATGAGCAGAGAACACCCATGAGGAAGTGGATGAACGGGAGCTGCCTTGCTGTCTGCATACCTAATTCGTCGAAGTGCGTTTCGGGGCCATCCTCGTCTGTGACAGAGCACACCAGCCGGGCCTTCAGGAACGTAGTCCACTTGTTGACCAGGCTACGCAGGCCACCTGTGTCATTCTGAAACCCAGTTACAAACATCACACACACGACTCACAAAAACATGGATATGTACATATTAACATTCACCTTGGTGTAGGATTACCTTAGGTTTTACCGTACCTGAAGAGTGAAAATGTTAACCACATCTCTATATCATAGTTAAAATATGGAATGTCTGCATATTGTACGAAACGGCTAGAGTTGAACTATTATTCCCTTCTGGCATCAGCTGCAAGCTAATCGATTAGGTTAACAAGTAAGTATCTGCCCTCACTTTAACACTACATGAGAGAAATGATCATAAATGCTATGGAGAACAGTTTGATTTGCATTTCTGTGACAATCCATCGTCTTTAATACGAGCAAATCACTGCCCACGGCAAGGGCTGTAGGCTGAACTCCGGCCCGCAGAGCGGGTCCTACACCAAACATTCTGCTGAGCTTCTAACTCTCCTCCGTTTCTCTGCAGTACCACTAGTCGGATGCTGAACCTCTGTATCTGTCTTCCCAGGTCTGGGGGCTGGGGCCTGGGTCGTCCACAGTGGCCAGTCGCTGCTTCTGACTTATTTCTCCCTCATGTTCAGAGAAACCTCTTTTCCCTTTCTGCTGACTTTGAGGAAAGCTGAGCTCAGACGTGTGACATGAGCAATATTTAATGGGATTTTTTTAAGATACAATAAACACTTTGAGAATACTTTGGCAACAAAGAATTCTGATCATAAATTAAGTCAACACAAGTCCGTAAAACTGTAGGGAAGGACATGACAAACTTTTTAGTGCTATTTATACTTACTGTTTATACATGGAGCATTTTGGTCACTGTTTGTAACTAGCACTGTATTTACTACAGCATTTCCTAACTTTTACTTTTCTAGATTGTTCCACAACATTATCCTTTACTGAGACTTGCCTGCATTTCATTTACAAGAATTGTCTTGTTTATTTTAGCAATAGACATTGTAGCTATTTGTTTGAATTCCAATGCAGTAATGGACATGAGGAAATTAGTCAAAACTGTTTATCTGTTTGGAACCACCACCAATCTCCCCGAAAGAAGCTTTTTATAGAAATGGGGTATGCTTATCTCAAATGACTGATGCCAATAAACGTATTATTTATAGGTGTTTTCCTCAGTAATTGATCTACATATTCATAGCTGCAGATAATATTAGCAGGAGGAGAAACTACTGAGAAATGACGACTTATATAATTTGAAGTTCTTTCTTTCCAGTAGCACCAGAGCAAGACTCACAGGACATATCCTAGCGATCATGGAGTGGATCTGCTTTGAGCTCCTGTTGTTGTCCGTCAGCTTCTCTCTGAGGAAGAAGTACACCTTGGCATCGTTGGGGTCTGTGCCGTCCGGGATGGCATGAGCATCCACGAACACAGGCTCTGGAAGAAAGTGTGGACATCCATGTACTCGCCTTCCAGGAAGACCACAATGGTTCAGCGCCCCTAGATTAAACCTCAGAAAGCAGCGTTCCTTTCAACACTCCACATCAGAAACATCGGGCACCACAGAACTGAGCCATAATACGATAGCCCAGACTGTTTTCCTCCTCTGTCTATAGTGCATCTTGGGGACACAGGAAATGTGACAATTTTTGGTGCATTTGTGAGTTTTTAAACATTGAAAACCTTTGCTAGTGATTATTTCCTGTGGAATCTTAGGGCTGTTTTTTGGGGGGGAAATGTTTGCTTTTCAAAGTGCAGTTTTCGATTTAGGGCAGATAACCTCAAATTCCTTGAAGCAGCAGGAGTGGGGAGTCCAAAATTGTTAAAATTAGATTTTTTTTAAAAGCAAATGAAATAAAGGGGAAACTTCTTAAGGAAAAAATGTAATCCTTTGAAGACACACAGGGTTTCCTTATTTCCAGAACAAAACAAGTGTTAGGACAATGTACTTCCAGTTGTACTGGGGTCATCTGAAGAGGGGAATGGGCCATCGAGGCTTTCTCCTGTTGCTTCATCTGCAGATTCAGATGCTTAACCACAGCGATTCATGCCTCACTGGCCAGGGGAAGTGCGTCCCCACGTTACAGGCAGCTAGAAGCATTTGTTTCTCAGGGTGAAAGGACAGAAGCCTTAGCAGGTTCTCCCTCCTCAATGAAACCACACCTGACGGGCATCATACAGGAAGATCCAGCTGCATCTTTTCTGATGTGAATTCCATAGCACCCCAGAACCAACCGGGAACCATTAATCAATGACAACCTTAGGGTTCTCATACCTAGGATTTCTATTAAACAGTGGTCACATTTTGAAAAAAATATATACACAGCTTTTCTCATTTTAAAATTCAAGTATAAAACATATAGGAAGAGGTCTTGAGCATAATCTATTCATTAATCTAAATGTCATAGAGTTATGCTGACTTTTAAATTTGGCTTTGCTAAAATACACAAGCAGATGAAATGAAGCAAAAAGAATATTTAACTCTAGATATGTTAGCCTCCAACAACTGGGGAAGATGCATAGGCACTTACAAGTATGATGAATACTACCGCCATTGTTATTTATTTATATGTCTATGGCACTTGTACAATGAGCAATAAAATAAGGATCTGGAGTGTGAATGATGTGCAATCATCTCACTTATTTAGCCGGAATGCTTTAAACGTTTGAGTACAGAACAGGCATTTCTCATGCCATGGCCTCATATTTCGTTTTAACTACTTTTCCTAGTTGTCGTTACAGAATTAAAAGTTAGTTTACGGCACGACACTGCAGGAAATATCCATGAAATGTTTTCTTACCACTCAGCCACTTGGAATTGTGCTGATCAGTTCTGACCGCATTCCTCTTGGTTAAACTTCGAAAAATAGCAGCATCCGTGCCCATGAAATCTATATACATTCCTGAGAAAAGCTCCTCATCTGCACAGAAAAAGAGAAGAGAAATTTAAATATTTTAAAAGCTACTTTAAAATGTAAGGTGCATTTATTAGGTAATAATTTGAAATGTTACAGAATGTTTGTAATTGTTGATTGGCTTCCATTGACCAAAAAATTTTGCTTGATGTGGTGGTACATGCCTGCAATCCCAGCACACAGGAGGCTGAGGCAGGAGGATTCCCATACATTTGAGGTCACTCTAGGCTACATAATGAGTTCAAGGCTAGCCTGAACTACACAGTGAGACCCTGTCTCAAAAATAAGGTTTTGTCTGGTTTTTGTCAGCACTGAACATTGAACCTGGGCCTTCACGTTGAGCTACATTCCCAGCACTGTTCTTTTATTTGAGACATCATTAAATTGGTCAGGCTGAGCTAGAATTTCCAATCTGCAGAACTACAGTATATATAATACAGGGGCTGGGGATTTAGCTCAGTGGTGCTGCTGCCTGCCTCGCAAGTGCAAGGTCCCAAGTTCAATCCCCGGTACCAAAACCAAAACAATGTATATGATATATAAATATTTACAACTGTATATTTATGTCTGATATATGTACATATCTGTATATATAAATCAAATTCTAGAATGACTTCTTACTATAGATAAAAAAATTGTCTTATACTAAATATCAATTTTATATAGTATGTATCAGAAATGGCAGACTATAAAAGATAAAATAGCTTAATTATTGTATTTTATTTTTAAAAATACAAAACCCGTAAGAATCAGAAACCCAGTTTCTAATTTGGTAATCATTAACAAATTGGGAGCAAGGCTAAGTTATTTCACAGCTCAAATCTCATTCTTTTCATTTATAAAACCTGAAAAATGGGCTGTGATTTCAAAACTTCCCAACACATAGTAAAATTATTATTATTCATGAATCAAATATGAGTCCATTATTATGTTATGGTGGCTACCTTCAAACTTTCAAAATACTATTAATTTCTTAAAGATTTAATCATTAAAAGTCAGACAGAGTCTGCCAGAAAATGTATACACACTTCAGGAAAAGAAAAATAGTATGATTTTTTTTTTTTCCCAGCAGGACCCTAGAGGGTGCCGTGTATCACAGAAAGCTTCTGCACTGCCGGCCCGTAGAGAAGCGACTGAAAATGCTTGTGCAGCGATCTCAATGGCCAGGGCTCCCCAAGCAGCAGTCTGCCTCACTAATAACCGTCTGGAAGCTCACGGCCACCACTCCGAGCAGCTCCTGTAACTGCAGAGGCCAAAGGTAACTTTACTAATCTCATGATGTCCGAATAAATTTAGTATTAAATATTTACACACGTGAATTTCTTTTGCTAAAGTAGGGATTTTTTTTTTTTTTTTTT